AGTGGGTAGTACATCCAGGCTGCATGTGGAGGAGCTCAAACTGGAGATTATCTCTTGGACAGTTTTATCATTTACAGGTGCAAAGTGAGTTAGCTCAGAGAGCCTTTTTGGCTGTTGGATTGTTATCTGTGGATTGGAGACAATGGCGTTTTTGATGCCTTGAACCTTGTCATTGAAAAAGTGTGCAAACTCATTGCATTTACGTTTGGAAGTAAGCTCTAATGGCATTTGAACAGGGGGGTTTGTTAATCTATTAACTGTTGAAAACAGAACACGCAGATTGTTGCTGCAGCCTTCAATCATTTCAGAAAAATACCTTTCTCTCGTACTACGTAGCACCCGGTTAAACTCGCACAACTTATCTTTGAAGATCTTGTAATCTACCTGGAGGTTGGACTTGCGCCACTTCCGCTCGGCCCTCCGGCACTTTCTCTTTTGTGCCCTGACCGAGTCTGCTTTAGCCCACGGCGCCTTCTGCTTATTTTTCACTATTTTAACCTTCACAGGGGCAACGGTATCCAGAACATTCAAAACACTAGAGGTGACAGAGTTAAACAGTTCATCTACAGTAGAATACGATGCATTCTCAAAGTTTATCATTTCCATAAATAGTTCACCCGTATTTTCATTTATGTGTCTTCTTCGTACAGTTGCAGAGTCCACTGGTGGTTTGTTAGTGAAACACATGTCAAAAAATATACAAAAATGATCCGAAAGCGCAACATCGACCACGTTTACATTTGAAATAATCACCCCCTTTGTAACTAACAGGTCTAGAGTGTGCCCTCTGCTGTGGGTGGGGCCACTCACATGCTGAGTGAGACCAAAAGATTCAAGAACAGAACTCAGCTCTTTAGCCTTTCTGTCAATAACATTATCCACATGAATATTAAAATCACCTGTAATAACTAAACTATCAAAATCTGTGCATACAACTGAAAGCAACTCGGTAAAATTATCAATAAAACTGTGACATGACTGCGGTGGCTTGTATAGGACAACGAAGAGTATCGGAGGGGATTGTTTTTGTTGTATTTTAAAAGACACATATTCAAATGACGAAAACTTCCCAAGAGACATTCTATGGGAGACAAAGTGGTCTCTGAAAATGGCAGCTAAGCCTCCTCCTTTTTTGTTTTCCCGTATTTCAGATTCAAATTTGAAATTTGGTGGTGATGCTTCTATTAAAACTGCATTTTCTGTATTTTGGTCAAGCCATGTTTCAGCCATGAACATAAGATCAAGATTATAAGAACAAATAAAATTATTGATTAAAAAAGACTTGTTAGAAAGAGATCTGACATTTAGCATAGCAAGTTTCAAAGTTTCAGTATCAGCGGTTGCGGTCGGCTGATTCTTCTCTGAGGAGCACAGGGACTGGACTCCTGCTGGGACTCTGAGGAGCACAGGGACTGGACTCCTGCTGGGACTCTGAGGAGCACAGGGACTGGACTCCTGCTGGGACTCTGAGGAGCACAGGGACTGGACTCCTGCTGGGACTCTGTAGGAGCACAGGGACTGGACTCCTGCTGTGACTCTGAGGAGCACAGGGACTGGACTCCTGCTGGGACTCTGAGGAGCACAGGGACTGGACTCCTGCTGTGACTCTGAGGAGCACAGGGACTGGACTCCTGCTGGGACTCTGAGGAGCACAGGGACTGGCCTCCTGCTGGGACTCTGAGGAGCACAGGGACTGGACTCCTGCTGGGACTCTGAGGAGCACAGGGACTGGACTCCTGCTGGGACTCTGAGGAGCACAGGGACTGGACTCCTGCTGGGACTCTGAGGAGCACAGGGACTGGACTCCTGCTGGGACTCTGAGGAGCACAGGGACTGGACTCCTGCTGGGACTTTGAGGAGCACAGGGACTGGACTCCTGCTGGGACTCTGAGGAGCACAGGGACTGGACTCCTGCTGGGACTCTGAGGAGCACAGGGACTGGACTCCTGCTGGGACTCTGAGGAGCACAGGGACTGGCCTCCTGCTGGGACTCTGAGGAGCACAGGGACTGGACTCCTGCTGGGACTCTGAGGAGCACAGGGACTGGCCTCCTGCTGGGACTCTGAGGAGCACAGGGACTGGACTCCTGCTGGGACTTTGAGGAGCACAGGGACTGGACTCCTGCTGGGACTCTGAGGAGCACAGGGACTGGACTCCTGCTGGGACTCTGAGGAGCACAGGGACTGGACTCCTGCTGGGACTCTGAGGAGCACAGGGACTGGACTCCTGCTGGGACTCTGAGGAGCACAGGGACTGGCCTCCTGCTGGGACTCTGAGGAGCACAGGGACTGGCCTCCTGCTGGGACTCTGAGGAGCACAGGGACTGGACTCCTGCTGGGACTCTGAGGAGCACAGGGACTGGTCTCCTGCTGGGACTCTGAGGAGCACAGGGACTGGCCTCCTGCTGGGACTCTGAGGAGCACAGGGACTGGCCTCCTGCTGGGACTCTGAGGAGCACAGGGACTGGACTCCTGCTGGGACTCTGAGGAGCACAGGGACTGGTCTCCTGCTGGGACTCTGAGGAGCACAGGGACTGGACTCCTGCTGGGACTCTGAGGAGCACAGGGACTGGCCTCCTGCTGGGACTCTGAGGAGCACAGGGACTGGCCTCCTGCTGGGACTCTGAGGAGCACAGGGACTGGCCTCCTGCTGGGACTCTGAGGAGCACAGGGACTGGCCTCCTGCTGGGACTCTGAGGAGCACAGGGACTGGCCTCCTGCTGGGACTCTGAGGAGCACAGGGACTGGCCTCCTGCTGGGACTCTGAGGAGCACAGGGACTGGACTCCTGCTGGGACTCTGAGGAGCACAGGGACTGGTCTCCTGCTGGGACTCTGAGGAGCACAGGGACTGGACTCCTGCTGGGACTCTGAGGAGCACAGGGACTGGCCTCCTGCTGGGACTCTGAGGAGCACAGGGACTGGCCTCCTGCTGGGACTCTGAGGAGCACAGGGACTGGCCTCCTGCTGGGACTCTGAGGAGCACAGGGACTGGCCTCCTGCTGGGACTCTGAGGAGCACAGGGACTGGACTCCTGCTGGGACTCTGAGGAGCACAGGGACTGGACTTCTGCAGGGACTCTGAGGAGCACAGGGACTGGACTCCTGCTGGGACTCTGAGGAGCACAGGGACTGGACTCCTGCTGGGACTCTGAGGAGCACAGGGACTGGCCTCCTGCTGGGACTCTGAGGAGCACAGGGACTGGCCTCCTGCTGGGACTCTGAGGAGCACAGGGACTGGCCTCCTGCTGGGACTCTGAGGAGCACAGGGACTGGCCTCCTGCTGGGACTCTGAGGAGCACAGGGACTGGACTCCTGCTGGGACTCTGAGGAGCACAGGGACTGGACTCCTGCTGGGACTCTGAGGAGCACAGGGACTGGACTCCTGCTGGGACTCTGAGGAGCACAGGGACTGGACTCCTGCTGGGACTCTGAGGAGCACAGGGACTGGCCTCCTGCTGGGACTCTGAGGAGCACAGGGACTGGACTCCTGTTAGTGCCCAGAGTCAGGACTAAACATGGGGAGGCTCCTTTTCAGATTCATGCTGCTAAAATCTGGAACAGTCTTCCTGAAGATGTGAGACAGGCCTCCTCTCTGACAATGTTTAAAACCAGGTTAAAGACAGTTCTGTTTAGCTGTGCTACAACTGAGGGATTTTATATTTCTATCTTTCTTTTTAATGTTCTGTGATTATTTATGATTTTAATGCTTTCTTGTTTTGTTCAGCACTTTGAGTTGCCTTGTGTATGAATTGTGCTATATAAATAAACTTGCCTTGCCTATTCTGCATTGATTGCTGCTGATGATCTTTTCTACACAGACATGGTCTGTTTTGAACAATAACCAGAAAATCACGTTTCTGCTAGTTCCACGTGTGTGTTTGATGGTTCCACGTGTGTGTTTGATGGTTCCACGTGTGTGTTTGATGGTTCCACGTGTGTGTTTGATGGTTCCACGTGTATGTTTGATGGTTCCACGTGCATGTTTGATGGTTCCACGTGCATGTTTGATGGTTCCACGTGTGTGTTTGATGGTTCCACGTGTATGTTTGATGGTTCCACGTGTATGTTTGATGGTTCCACGTGTGTGTTTGATGGTTCCACGTGTATGTTTGATGGTTCCACGTGTATGTTTGATGGTTCCACGTGTGTGTTTGATGGTTCCACATGTATGTTTGATGGTTCCACGTGTGTGTTTGATGGTTCCACGTGTATGTTTGATGGTTCCACGTGTATGTTTGATGGTTCCACGTGTGTGTTTGATGGTTCCACGTGTGTGTTTGATGGTTCCACGTGTATGTTTGATGGTTCCACGTGTATGTTTGATGGTTCCACGTGTATGTTTGATGGTTCCACGTGTATGTTTGATGGTTCCACGTGTGTGTTTGATGGTTCCACGTGTATGTTTGATGGTTCCACGTGTATGTTTGATGGTTCCACGTGTGTGTTTGATGGTTCCACGTGTATGTTTGATGGTTCCACGTGTATGTTTGATGGTTCCACGTGTATGTTTGATGGTTCCACGTGTATGTTTGATGGTTCCACGTGTGTGTTTGATGGTTCCACGTGTATGTTTGATGGTTCCACGTGTGTGTTTGATGGTTCCACGTGTGTGTTTGATGGTTCCACGTGTGTGTTTGATGGTTCCACGTGTGTGTTTGATGGTTCCACGTGTATGTTTGATGGTTCCACGTGTGTGTTTGATGGTTCCACGTGTGTGTTTGATGGTTCCACGTGTGTGTTTGATGGTTCCACGTGTATGTTTGATGGTTCCACGTGTGTGTTTGATGGTTCCACGTGTGTGTTTGATGGTTCCACGTGTGTGTTTGATGGTTCCACGTGTGTGTTTGATGGTTCCACGTGTGTGTTTGATGGTTCCACGTGTGTGTTTGATGGTTCCACGTGTGTGTTTGATGGTTCCACGTGTGTGTTTGATGGTTCCACGTGTATGTTTGATGGTTCCACGTGTATGTTTGATGGTATGTTGTGTGGCTTGTGTTTCAGATCGTGATTATCGAGCACAAGTCGATCATCTGTCCTGGGTACAACGCAGTGCTGCATGTGCACACGTGCATCGAGGAGGTGGAGATCACTGTGAGTCTGTTTATAGTCTGACCAAGTATGACCAGGTGTGTCCTGGTCCCCTGGTGCAGGGGACCGTGGTGGAGGGGCACAGGGGACCGTGTCTTTCCCTAAACAACGCAATCCGTACTGGAATTGTTAGCTACATTAGCTGTTAGCATGTAATGTAAACGGGAAGAGAAACTGAAATTCAACCAGGACAACGAAGTCATCGTTGGATTTAGTAATAGCGCCACCAGCTGGACCAAGTGTTGTACTACAGCACAGTTTCTCTGGCAACGTTTGTGAAAACATGTTCATGTGACCGCGGGCCATTTCCACACCCCTGTGGCGACGATCCGGGCCACTTGGCCCAGTTTGTTTGTAAAAACCTCTGTGACCGTGCCCTTTGCACAGGTAATTACACTAGTTAGTTTGGCCCCTCTCACCCCAGACCAGAGTCCCCAGTCTGTGTCCCTGTGCTGCACTGATGTGTCCCTGTGCTCCAGGCCTTGGGCTGTCTTGTGGATAAAAAGACTGGAGAGAAGAGCAGCACGCGGCCGCGGTTCGTGAAGCAGGACCAGGTGTGCATCGCTCGACTGCGCACGGCAGGAACCATCTGTTTGGAAACCTTCAAGGACTTCCCCCAGATGGGACGCTTTACTCTGCGGGACGAAGGTGAGCACAGGGACGCTTTACTCTGCAGGACAAAGGTGAGCACAGGGACGCTTTACTCTGCGGGACGAAGGTGAGCACAGGGACGCTTTACTCTGCGGGACGAAGGTGAGCACAGGGACGCTTTACTCTGCAGGACAAAGGTGAGCACAGGGACGCTTTACTCTGCGGGACGAAGGTGAGCACAGGGACGCTTTACTCTGCGGGACGAAGGTGAGCACAGGGACGCTTTACTCTGCAGGACAAAGGTGAGCACAGGGACGCTTTACTCTGTGGGACGAAGGTGAGCACAGGGACGCTTTACTCTGTGGGACGAAGGTGAGCACAGGGACGCTTTACTCTGCAGGACGAAGGTGAGCACAGGGACGCTTTACTCTGTGGGACGAAGGTGAGCACAGGGACGCTTTACTCTGCAGGACGAAGGTGAGCACAGGGACGCTTTACTCTGCAGGACAAAGGTGAGCACAGGGACGCTTTACTCTGCGGGACGAAGGTGAGCACAGGGACGCTTTACTCTGCAGGACAAAGGTGAGCACAGGGACGCTTTACTCTGCGGGACGAAGGTGAGCACAGGGACGCTTTACTCTGTGGGACGAAGGTGAGCACAGGGACGCTTTACTCTGCAGGACGAAGGTGAGCACAGGGACGCTTTACTCTGCAGGACAAAGGTGAGCACAGGGACGCTTTACTCTGCGGGACGAAGGTGAGCACAGGGACGCTTTACTCTGTGGGACGAAGGTGAGCACAGGGACGCTTTACTCTGCAGGACGAAGGTGAGCACAGGGACGCTTTACTCTGCAGGACAAAGGTGAGCACAGGGACGCTTTACTCTGCGGGACGAAGGTGAGCACAGGGACGCTTTACTCTGCGGGACGAAGGTGAGCACAGGGACGCTTTACTCTGCGGGACGAAGGTGAGCACAGGGACGCTTTACTCTGCGGGACGAAGGTGAGCACAGGGACGCTTTACTCTGCAGGACAAAGGTGAGCACAGGGACGCTTTACTCTGCGGGACGAAGGTGAGCACAGGGACGCTTTACTCTGTGGGACGAAGGTGAGCACAGGGACGCTTTACTCTGCAGGACGAAGGTGAGCACAGGGACGCTTTACTCTGCAGGACAAAGGTGAGCACAGGGACGCTTTACTCTGCAGGACAAAGGTGAGCACAGGGACGCTTTACTCTGTGGGACGAAGGTGAGCACAGGGACGCTTTACTCTGCAGGACAAAGGTGAGCACAGGGACGCTTTACTCTGTGGGACGAAGGTGAGCACAGGGACGCTTTACTCTGTGGGACGAAGGTGAGCACAGGGACGCTTTACTCTGTGGGACGAAGGTGAGCACAGGGACGCTTTACTCTGCAGGACAAAGGTGAGCACAGGGACGCTTTACTCTGCAGGACAAAGGTGAGCACAGGGACGCTTTACTCTGCGGGACGAAGGTGAGCACAGGGACGCTTTACTCTGCAGGACAAAGGTGAGCACAGGGACGCTTTACTCTGCAGGACAAAGGTGAGCACAGGGGCGCTTTACTCTGCAGGACAAAGGTGAGCACAGGGGCGCTTTACTCAGCGGGACGAAGGTGAGCACAGGGACGCTTTACTCTGTGGGACGAAGGTGAGCACAGGGACGCTTTACTCTGTGGGACGAAGGTGAGCACAGGGACGCTTTACTCTGTGGGACGAAGGTGAGCACAGGGACGCTTTACTCTGCGGGACGAAGGTGAGCACAGGGACGCTTTACTCTGTGGGACGAAGGTGAGCACAGGGACGCTTTACTCTGCAGGACAAAGGTGAGCACAGGGACGCTTTACTCTGTGGGACGAAGGTGAGCACAGGGACGCTTTACTCTGTGGGACGAAGGTGAGCACAGGGACGCTTTACTCTGCGGGACGAAGGTGAGCACAGGGACGCTTTACTCTGCAGGACAAAGGTGAGCACAGGGACGCTTTACTCTGCGGGACGAAGGTGAGCACAGGGACGCTTTACTCTGCGGGACGAAGGTGAGCACAGGGACGTCTCCACAGCATCTGAGTTTGGTCTGTTGTTGATGGTGTGTATGGTTTGGTCTTTACCTGTTGTTGATGGTGTCTATGGTTTGGTCTTTACCTGTTGTTGATAGTGTCTATGGTTTGGTCTTTACCTGTTGTTGATGGTGTCTATGGTTTGGTCTTTACCTGTTGTTGATGGTGTCTATGGTTTGGTCTTTACCTGTTGTTGATGGTGTGTATGGTTTGGTCTTTACCTGTTGTTGATGGTGTCTATGGTTTGGTCTTTACCTGTTGTTGATGGTGTGTATGGTTTGGTCTTTACCTGTTGTTGATGGTGTCTCTGGTTTGGTCTTTACCTGTTGTTGATGGTGTCTATGGTTTGGTCTTTACCTGTTGTTGATGGTGTCTGTGGTTCGGTCTTTACCTGTTGTTGATGGTGTCTATGGTTTGGTCTTTACCTGTTGTTGATGGTGTCTATGGTTTGGTCTTTACCTGTTGTTGATAGTGTCTATGGTTTGGTCTTTACCTGTTGTTGATGGTGTCTGTAGTTTGGTCTTTACCTGTTGTTGATGGTGTCTATGGTTTGGTCTTTACCTGTTGTTGATAGTGTCTATGGTTTGGTCTTTACCTGTTGTTGATGGTGTCTATGGTTTGGTCTTTACCTGTTGTTGATGGTGTCTGTAGTTTGGTCTTTACCTGTTGTTGATGGTGTCTATGGTTTGGTCTTTACCTGTTGTTGATAGTGTCTATGGTTTGGTCTTTACCTGTTGTTGATGGTGTCTATGGTTCGGTCTTTACCTGTTGTTGATGGTGTCTGTGGTTCGGTCTTTACCTGTTGTTGATGGTGTCTGTGGTTCGGTCTTTACCTGTTGTTGATAGTGTCTATGGTTTGGTCTTTACCTGTTGTTGATGGTGTCTATGGTTTGGTCTTTACCTGTTGTTGATGGTGTCTATGGTTTGGTCTTTACCTGTTGTTGATGGTGTCTATGGTTTGGTCTTTACCTGTTGTTGATAGTGTCTATGGTTTGGTCTTTACCTGTTGTTGATGGTGTCTGTAGTTTGGTCTTTACCTGTTGTTGATGGTGTCTATGGTTTGGTCTTTACCTGTTGTTGATAGTGTCTATGGTTTGGTCTTTACCTGTTGTTGATGGTGTCTATGGTTTGGTCTTTACCTGTTGTTGATGGTGTCTATGGTTTGGTCTTTACCTGTTGTTGATGGTGTCTATGGTTTGGTCTTTACCTGTTGTTGATAGTGTCTATGGTTTGATCTTTACCTGTTGTTGATGGTGTCTGTAGTTTGGTCTTTACCTGTTGTTGATGGTGTCTATGGTTTGGTCTTTACCTGTTGTTGATAGTGTCTATGGTTTGGTCTTTACCTGTTGTTGATGGTGTCTATGGTTTGGTCTTTACCTGTTGTTGATGGTGTCTATGGTTTGGTCTTTACCTGTTGTTGATGGTGTCTATGGTTTGGTCTTTACCTGTTGTTGATGGTGTCTATGGTTTGGTCTTTACCTGTTGTTGATGGTGTCTATGGTTTGGTCTTTACCTGTTGTTGATGGTGTGTATGGTTTGGTCTTTACCTGTTGTTGATGGTGTCTGTAGTTTGGTCTTTACCTGTTGTTGACGGTGTCTATGGTTTGGTCTTTACCTGTTGTTGATGGTGTCTATGGTTTGGTCTTTACCTGTTGTTGATGGTGTGTATGGTTTGGTCTTTACCTGTTGTTGATGGTGTCTATGGTTTGGTCTTTACCTGTTGTTGATGGTGTCTATGGTTTGGTCTTTACCTGTTGTTGATGATGTCTATGGTTTGGTCTTTACCTGTTGTTGATGGTGTCTATGGTTTGGTCTTTACCTGTTGTTGATGGTGTCTATGGTTTGGTCTTTACCTGTTGTTGATGGTGTCTATGGTTTGGTCTTTACCTGTTGTTGATGGTGTCTATGGTTTGGTCTTTACCTGTTGTTGATGGTGTCTATGGTTTGGTCTTTACCTGTTGTTGATGGTGTCTATGGTTTGGTCTTTACCTGTTGTTGATGGTGTCTATGGTTTGGTCTTTACCTGTTGTTGATGGTGTCTATGGTTTGGTCTTTACCTGTTGTTGATGGTGTCTATGGTTTGGTCTTTACCTGTTGTTGATGGTGTCTATGGTTTGGTCTTTACCTGTTGTTGATGGTGTCTATGGTTTGGTCTTTACCTGTTGTTGATGGTGTCTATGGTTCGGTCTTTACCTGTTGTTGATGGTGTCTGTGGTTCGGTCTTTACCTGTTGTTGATGGTGTCTATGGTTTGGTCTTTACCTGTTGTTGATGGTGTCTATGGTTTGGTCTTTACCTGTTGTTGATGGTGTCTATGGTTTGGTCTTTACCTGTTGTTGATGGTGTCTATGGTTTGGTCTTTACCTGTTGTTGATGGTGTCTATGGTTTGGTCTTTACCTGTTGTTGATGGTGTCTATGGTTCGGTCTTTACCTGTTGTTGATGGTGTCTGTGGTTTGGTCTTTACCTGTTGTTGATGGTGTCTATGGTTCGGTCTTTACCTGTTGTTGATGGTGTCTGTGATCCTCAGGGAAAACCATCGCCATTGGGAAAGTGCTGAAACTGATCACAGAGCGGGACTGAAGCTGCAGGACCCTCCTCATGGTCTCCTGATGGTGTCCTGCTGGTCCTCCTGATGGTGTCCTGGTCCTCCTGATGGTGTCCTGCTGGTCCTCCTGATGGTGTCCTGGTCCTCCTGATGGTGTCCTGGTCCTCTGACAGAGACTAACTCTGGAACATCACGTGTTCAGACCAAGAACAACACGAGTTGCTTTCTCATATTGAGAGCTCAGCCATTCAACACTTTACATTTCCATTTTCTTCCATCTCGTCTGTGACTCTGACCTCTGGTGTGGACCTCTGGTGTGGACCTCTGGTGTGGACCTCTGGTGTGGACCTCTGGTGTGGACCTCTGGTGTGGACCTCTGGTGCGGACCTCTGGTGTGGACCTCTGGTGCGGACCTCTGGTGCGGACCTCTGGTGCGGACCTCTGGTGCTGACCTCTGGTGCGGACCTCTGGTGTGGACCTCTGGTGCGGACCTCTGGTGCTGACCTCTGGTGCGGACCTCTGGTGTGGACCTCTGGTGTGGACCTCTGGTGTGGACCTCTGGTGTGGACCTCTGGTGCGGACCTCTGGTGTGGACCTCTGGTGCGGACCTCTGGTGCGGACCTCTGGTGCGGACCTCTGGTGCGGACCTCTGGTGTGGACCTCTGGTGCGGACCTCTGGTGCTGACCTCTGGTGCGGACCTCTGGTGCGGACCTCTGGTGCGGACCTCTGGTGCGGACCTCTGGTGCGGACCTCTGGTGCGGACCTCTGGTGCGGACCTCTGGTGCGGACCCCTGGTGCGGACCTCTGGTGCGGACCCCTGGTGTGGACCTCTGGTGTGGACCTCTGGTGTGGACCTCTGGTGTGGACCTCTGGTGTGGACCTCTGGTGTGGACCCCTGGTGCGGACCCCTGGTGCGGACCCCTGGTGCGGACCTCTGGTGTGGACCTCTGGTGCGGACTTCTGGTGTCTGCGTCAGGACAGGAGTTGAGGCTTATTATCAGATGAATGATTTGATTCCAGTGAGACCAGAGTCAGTTTGACCACTTTGGTTTGTGGCGTGGAGCGTGTGCAAACGTTATTCCAGCTTCTATGAAAATAAAGCTCTAACTTTGGGACCAGCCTTTGTGTGCGTTAGTCTGTGTGCGTTAGTCTGTGTGCGTTAGTCTTTGTGCGTTAGTCTGTGTGCAGTAGTCTGTGCGTTAGTCTGTGTGTTTGTGACTGACTGTGCGTGTCTGTGTGTTTGTGACTGACTGTGCGTGTCTGTGTGTTTGTGACTGACTGTGCGTGTCTGTGTGTCGGTGACTGGTCGTTGGTGTTTAACCTGCCTCCAGCAGGGGGCGTACAGGACCCTGACCTCTGTAGACTGCAGCTGCATTAGGTTTAGATCAAGTGGATCACAGGGAGGCTCCTAAATGTCCTCCTAAAGATTTTCCAGAAGTTCCTCCTGAAGTTTCTCCAGGAGTTCCTTCTAAAAGTCCTCCTGAAGATTCTCCAGAAGGTCCTCCAGAGGGTCCTCTTGAAGGTCCAAAGAAGTTCCTCCTGAAGATTCTCCAGAAGGTCCTCCAGAGGGTCCTTATGACGGTTTCCCAGAGGGTCCTCTTGAAGGTCCAAAGAAGTTCCTCCTGAAGGTTCTCCAGAAGTTCCTCCAGAAGGTCCTCCACAAGGTGGCCCTGAAGGTTCTCCAGAAGGTTCCCCAGTAGGTCCTAATTGGTAAAAACGGGTCTCCCAGAGCCGTCATTTTGACTGCTCCTATGAGAAATTCCCATAAAGAATATTTCATTAAAATTAAGGTAATTTAGGTTTTTTCCATTCCTCATTTTTACAAAGTGCTAAAACTGGTCGTTTCTGCAACTGCCATACAAGATTTATGCTAATTTCTGACAGTAAACGGTGTGTTGCCAAGATTACGGTAAACTGCGTGTATTTGACAATTAATTAAATGGTCAAATAACAGAAAAAAATACTTAAATATCCAAAGTTCATCACTATTAACTTCCTAAACTCAAATGGACTTACGTCTGTGTACGGAGAGTTATGTCTGTGTAAGGTGAGTTACGTCTGTGTAAGGTGAGTTACGTCTGTGTACGGAGAGTTATGTCTGTGTAAGGTGAGTTATGTCTGTGTAAGGTGAGTTATGTCTGTGTAAGGTGAGTTATGTCTGTGTAAGGTGAGTTATGTCTGTGTAAGGTGAGTTATGTCTGTGTAAGGTGACTTAGGTCTGTGTAAGGTGACTTAGGTCTGTGTAAGGTGACTTAGGTCTGTGTAAGGTGACTTAGGTCTGTGTAAGGTGACTTAGGTCTGTGTAAGGTGACTTAGGTCTGTGTAAGGTGACTTAGGTCTGTGTAAGGTGACTTAGGTCTGTGTAAGGTGACTTAGGTCTGTGTAAGGTGACTTAGGTCTGTGTAAGGTGACTTAGGTCTGTGTAAGGTGACTTAGGTCTGTGTAAGGTGACTTAGGTCTGTGTAAGGTGACTTAGGTCTGTGTAAGGTGACTTAGGTCTGTGTAAGGTGACTTAGGTCTGTGTAAGGTGAGTTAGGTCTGTGTAAGGTGAGTTATGTCTGTGAGCCACAGTCTGTAAACATCCTTCTCAGATTATACAGTGGCTTTAAAACTCACTTTCGATCACACTTTGGTTCAGTTATTTATTTTATGCGTCACTTTAAATTCTTTATCTCAGAGGACTTTACAAAGTTGTCGATGGGCCCGCACAGATCAGAGAATCAGAGACCGATGTCCATACATGTTGCTGGTGGAGCTTGGTTAATAATTGATCTTCGGTTAATTCTCAAACCAGTTTGAATAAGTGCTTTATAAGCTCTGGGAAAACACACGCACGCGCTCGGGCACCGGCAGGTTGGACACCTGATCATGGCCCCTCCCCCTTGGACAGGTTGGCCCCTCCCCCTTGGCAGGTGAGTCCCTCAGAGCAGACGGTATGGAGGAGGCTGTGGACCCGGTCCCCGCGGGGCTGGGACGGTGCACGTGCTGCTTCTGGTTGGCGTTGGTCTTTGACGTGTTGGGGCTCCTCGTGCTGCTGCTGGGCGTGTTCGTGAACGTCTTCTTCTACGACCTGCTGATCTACGCAGGCGCCATCATCATCTTCCTCAGCCTGGTGTGGTGGCTCTTCTGGTACTCGGGGAACATCGAGGTGCCCCCCGCGGAGCTGCGTGATGACGTCGGCCTCACGTCCAAACCCGCGCGGCCTCGTGGCGCTCTGGGCGCGCTCAGTGGCGTGCTGCGCCGCGCGTCCAGCCGCGTGACCGGAGCGATCAGCGGATCTTTCCGTGCACAAGGCCCGCGAGCGCAGCAGGCCACACAGGTGTGTGTTGGCCTGGCAACGGTGTCAACAGAGCGCGAGAGCCCACCCACGTGACTGCACAGGTGAGCGCGTGCAGGACTGTGCCACTTAAAACATGTTATAGACTTTATCTTTAACTTACAGCAGGACAGTGTGGGAGGGGGCTCCCACCTTGTGACCATCACTGAAGGACCAGGGGACAGCTGGGTCTCACATGGTCTGAGAGAGCACGGTCACTACCATATGGACTTAAACGTTGTCCCGTAGTGCGGAAGATTCAGAATCAAATCTTAGTAACAGGAAGTCACAAACGAGGAATCTGCTTTGGGTCAAAGTGCAAACATGAAACAAGGTAACAACATTCAGGAACAAAGTGCTCATAGTTAAATAAATGAGCCTCAGCTTCAGACGCTTCTCTCCCTGATGGGAACCAGGAAGTGCTTTGAGGCGCTGTGAGGGCCTGTGAGGGCCGAGGCTGAACCAGAGCTGACTGTTGTTCTAGAATGTACCTGTGCTCACACTGCTCTAGAATGTACCTGTGCTCACACTGTCTAGAATGTACCTGTGCTCACACTGTCTAGAATGTACCTGTGCTCACACTCCTCTAGAATGTACCTGTGCTCACACTTTTTCTCGGACATAATAGTTTCATTGAGCCTCGTATGGAACTTCAGGGTTTAAATGATGCGTACGCAAAATATTTACACTTTTCAGCATTTGTCAATCTGGACGTGAGCGAACGGTACTCACAGAATTTACACCGAGTCAATATGTGGTGTAAATGTGTGGCTCATCTCACCCTTCGTCACAACACGCCAAAGCACGCAAGAAATTCAACATTTGGACAACAATAAACATGTTCCCTCTGGTATAATTATAAGCTGTGTTTTCATGGAGCATCATGTTTCTGAATTTGAATTTGCGCATCAGAAAAAGACTCTGGAAACACGCAAACTTTGAATAAATCACAGATCATGATGAGGAGCCTCTTCTGTTTCTATGATTTTAAATCTGACTTCTGTGTGTATTATTTTGATCTGTATGTTTTTAAATGTGAAGTGCTTTGTGATCCTGGACTGTGAAAGGCTCTAAATACACTTTATGCATCATTCACATCTGGTAAAGCAATGTATGTCTTCATTAGATGTGTGTAACCCTCACACAGACACACACCGCTGCACACTCTTGGGAGTGCATCCACAGTAGGTGCCATGAGAGATAATGGCACCTGCCATAACTCCTCAAATGCTGTCATTCAGAAGTCTTGGAATAAACTCAGAAGTGCAAGCTTTTTGCGGCTTCTTAGCCGACTTCCTGCTGACCTGTCGCAAAAACAGGGCGTGGAACAGGCAGTTTCTGAATATTTATAAGTGTGACTTTCATAAATATGCTGGTTTCGAGCGCGGCATTTATCAACAGCCGCAGGTGCGTACACTCAGATCTGTGCCTCACACGTTCATAAAAGCCACGTCAGATCTTGAGTATCTGAGATCTACACCCAAAATTTACACCCTTTTCTGCGCAATTTTCATAAATGAGGCCCATGTGTAACGTGTTCAAACACTGAAGATAAATAAAATGTGCTCTTATCAATCTGTGTTTCAGGATCCTGGTCCTGATCCTGGTCCTGGTCCTGGTCCTGGTCCTGATCCTGGTCCTTTTGATCTTTTTTTGTAAAAAAAATTAAAATCCACTGTTTTCACCTGAACTGCTTTTTTCATTATTTTGTTTAAGATAAAAATAAAAAGTCCAGAATGTTTTTTTTATTGTGAAAAAGAATTTCTGCAACAGGCGAAAAATACATCCAATAAACAATTCTTTAAAGTACTACACGCGTGTGACTACACACATGTGACTACACACATGTGACTACTACACGCATGTGACTACACACATGTGACTACACGCATGTGACTACACGCATGCGACTACACACATGTGACTACTACACGCGTGTGACTACTACACGCGTGTGACTACTACACGCATGTGACTACACGCGTGTGACTACACACATGTGACTACTACACGCGTGTGACTACACACATGTGACTACTACACGCGTGTGACTACACGCGTGTGACTACACATGTGACTACTACACGCGTGTGACTACACACATGTGACTACTACACGCGTGTGACTACACACATGTGACTACTACACGCGTGTGACTACACGCGTGTGACTACTACACGCGTGTGACTACACACGTGTGACTACACACATGTGACTACTACACGCGTGTGACTACACACATGTGACTACTACACGCGTGTGACTACACACATGTGACTACTACACGCGTGTGACTACACACATGTGACTACTACACGCGTGTGACTACACACATGTGACTACTACACGCGTGTGACTACACACATGTGACTACTACACGCGTGTGACTACACGCATGTGACTACACACATGTGACTACTACATACGTACGGCTCTGATGCAGTAGTCGGAGGATCATTCGTTGTGCGACAGCTTTGAGACAGGAGCCTCTGGGCAGAAGGGGTGGGGGTGTGCACTGATGAAAATCTTAATCTGATACATTCTGCCTAAAAACAACGGGACAAAACAAAATGTCTGGTTTTCAAAAGATACAGAAATGTTTCCTTTGGAGAATCTGAATGTTTCAGGTTAAGATAAAAAAAGATTTGGGCCATTATTCCCTCAGATTTCATTCGCAGTGTGTTTGTTTTTGACGAGACGAAGGTGGACCCCGGACCACAGCTTTGGACGCCTTCACAGTTCAGGCCTTATCTCAGAGCCGCACCTTCAGTGTTTACTCATCGCTAATGATCCACAGAGAACTCAGCGACGGATTCGACTGAAGAACCACAGATCAAAGAGTTTCAAGTTTAAAGGTTTCAACAAAACAAACTTCTTCTAATTCAATATTCTACAGTTTTATACATTTAATAATATAAGAAAATGTCCTGTAGCCTTTCCCTATCGTCATACAGGTTTCATACATTATTATATACATTATTTATATATTGTATAGTGTCTAGACCCACTGCAGCACTCATCTCTCTTGAACTTTAGAAGTGAGTGAATGAATTAATATCTCCGCCACAGCGGTGGCTTTCATGTGCACTGTCCCAGAGCCACTGTCCCAGAGCCACAGAGCCGCTGTCTCAGAGCCACTGTCCCAGAGCCACAGAGCCACTGTCTCAGAGCCACTGTCCCAGAGCCACAGAGCCACTGTCCCAGAGCCACAGAGCCACTGTCCCAGAGCCACTGTCTCAGAGCCGCTGTCCCAGAGCCACAGAGCCACTGTCCCAGAGCCCCAGAGCCGCTGTCTCAGAGCCGCTGTCTCAGAGCCGCTGTCTCAGAGCCGCTGTCCTAGAGCTGCTGTCCCAGAGCCACTGTCCCAGAGCCACAGAGCCACTGTCCCAGAGCCGCTGTCCCAGAGCCGCTGTCTCAGAGCCGCTGTGCCAGAGCCGCTGTCCCAGAGCCACTGTCCCAGAGCCACAGAGCCACTGTCCCAGAGCCCCAGAGCCGCTGTCTCAGAGCCGCTGTCTCAGAGCCGCTGTCCCAGAGCCGCTGTCCCAGAGCCGCTGTCCCAGAGCCACTGTCCCAGAGCCACATAGCCACTGTCCCAGAGCCGCTGTCTCAGAGCCACTGTCCCAGAGCCGCTGTCTCAGAGCCGCTGTCTCAGAGCCGCTGTCCCAGAGCCGCTGTCCCAGAGCCGCTGTCCCAGAGCCACTGTCCCAGAGCCACAGAGCCACTGTCCCAGAGCCACAGTCCCAGAGCCACAGTCCCAGAGCCGCTGTCCCAGAGCTGCTGTCTCAGAGCCGCTGTAGATGAAGTTCACAGCTCCATGATGACAGGAGCAATATTCCACCTGAAAAGAAGATGAAAGTTATTTACACCAAATGTTGGCGTTCATATTCCCACCTCCAGTTTTTTGGATCTTATTGAAGAGTTTTGGGTAAATATCTTTAAAATTCACCAACTCTTCAATTGGATTCATCAGGTCTAGAGCTTTCATCACTGACTCCAAGTGCGAGGACGGGCCTCTTGCAGCTCTTTCCTTTGAGGCTGTAAATAATTAGTTTTATTCAACCTTTTCTAACCAGGTGATTACATGGATTATGTAATTCAATTCCATAATCTTCATGAACCATTCCAAAAAACAAGTTATTTACATTTTTGGAGTTTAGTAGACTGCAGTCACTTGTCTGTTTTTCATTTCCTTTCCAACCCTGACATCTTTCCCCATCCATGGAGCCAATATTGAGTAGTTCCTTTGCTTTTGAAAGGATTCTGAACAGAGGTGCCGGAGGAAATATTAAAGTCGTACTGTATAGAAGTTATGTTTTAGTACACGTAAAAAGAAAAAATACTGCCAGCCGTTTCTGATGGTTTTTTACTGATTTTTCAAGACCCACAGAATATTGTGTTGTGACTGAAATCTGAAATCCAGATTCTGAAACAATGGACTGTCTACTTTCATCAGCAAAAAGAACTGTGTTTATATTTGCTTTGACGTATTAGTGCGAAAAATGTAACAATATTCAATATTTTCCTTCAAAGACCATGTCAAGAAAATATGGAATATTGTTAAATTCAACTTTGCAAACTTTAAACGTATAAGGCCTTACTCGACTGTAGTCAGACTCAAGTCTCTGTTTAAGAAAACACTTCAAACATTAGATCAGAAGCCTTTGCTTTATCATTACTGAAACTTTGTAAGTTTAACATTTTAGATTCTGAGAGTTATCAGAAGTTTCTGGATGCCTGCCTTATTTTTAAGTATTACATGGACTTTCTCCTCCTCCCTTCAAGGGTTTTATACGAAAAAGAACAGCCGTGGAGTCAGAACCAGAGGACTAACCAGAAGAGACTGCACTAACCAGAGGAGACTGTACTAACCAGAGGAGACTGCACTAACCAGAGGAGACTGCACTAACCAGAGGAGACTGTACTAACCAGAGGAGACTGTACTAACCAGAGGAGACTGCACTAACCAGAGGAGACTGTACTAACCAGAGGAGACTGCTCTAACCAGAAGAGACTGCACTAACCAGAGGAGACTGTACTAACCAGAGGAGACTGCACTAACCAGAGGAGACTGTACTAACCAGAGGAGACTGTACTAACCAGAGGAGACTGTACTAACCAGAGGAGACTGCACTAACCAGAGGAGACTGCACTAACCAGAAGAGACTGTACTAACCAGAGGAGACTGTACTAACCAGAGGAGACTGTACTAACCAGAGGAGACTGCACTAACCAGAGGAGACTGCACTAACCAGAGGAGACTGTACTAACCAGAGGAGACTGTACTAACCAGAGGAGACTGCTCTAACCAGAAGAGACTGCACTAACCAGAGGAGACTGTACTAACCAGAGGAGACTGCACTAACCAGAGGAGACTGTACTAACCAGAGGAGACTGCACTAACCAGAGGAGACTGTACTAACCAGAGGAGACTGCACTAACCAGAAGAGACTGCACTAACCAGAGGAGACTACACTAACCAGAGGAGACTGTACTAACCAGAGGAGACTGTACTAACCAGAGGAGACCGCACTAACCAGAGGAGACCGCACTAACCAGAGGAGACTGCACTAACCAGAGGAGACTGTACTAACCAGAGGAGACTGCACTAACCAGAAGAGACTGCACTAACCAGAGGAGACTGTACTAACCAGAGGAGACTGCACTAACCAGAAGAGACTGTACTAACCAGAGGAGACTGTACTAACCAGAGGAGACTGCACTAACCAGAGGAGACTGTACTAACCAGAGGAGACTGTACTAACCAGAGGAGACTGTACTAACCAGAGGAGACTGTACTAACCAGAGGAGACTGTACTAACCAGAGGAGACTACACTAACCAGAGGAGACTGTACTAACCAGAGGAGACTGTACTAACCAGAGGAGACTGTACTAACCAGAGGAGGCCGCACTAACCAGAGGAGACTGTACTAACCAGAGGAGACTGTACTAACCAGAGGAGACTGCACTAACCAGAAGAGACTGCACTAACCAGAGGAGACTGTACTAACCAGAGGAGACTGCACTAACCAGAAGAGACTGTACTAACCAGAGGAGACTGTACTAACCAGAGGAGACTGCACTAACCAGAGGAGACTGTACTAACCAGAGGAGACTGTACTAACCAGAGGAGACTGTACTAACCAGAGGAGACTACACTAACCAGAGGAGACTGTACTAACCAGAGGAGACTGTACTAACCAGAGGAGGCCGCACTAACCAGAGGAGACTGTACTAACCAGAGGAGACTGTACTAACCAGAGGAGACTGTACTAACCAGAGGAGACTGTACTAACCAGAGGAGACTGCACTAACCAGAGGAGACTGTACTAACCAGAGGAGACTGTACTAACCAGAAGAGACTGTACTAACCAGAGGAGACTGTATTAACCAGAGGAGACCGCACTAACCAGAGGAGACTGTACTAACCAGAGGAGACTGCACTAACCAGAGGAGACTGTACTAACCAGAAGAGACTGTACTAACCAGAGGAGACTGTACTAACCAGAGGAGACTGTACTAACCAGAGGAGACTGTACTAACCAGAGGAGACTGTACTAACCAGAGGAGACTGTACTAACCAGAGGAGACTGTACTAACCAGAGGAGACTGCACTAACCAGAGGAGACTGTACTAACCAGAAGAGACTGTACTAACCAGAAGAGACTGTACTAACCAGAGGAGACTGTACTAACCAGAGGAGACTGTACTAACCAGAGGAGACCGCACTAACCAGAGGAGACTGTACTAACCAGAGGAGACTGCACTAACCAGAGGAGACTGTACTAACCAGAGGAGACTGTACTAACCAGAGGAGACTGTACTAACCAGAGGAGGCCGCACTAACCAGAGGAGACTGTACTAACCAGAGGAGACTGTACTAACCAGAGGAGACTGTACTAACCAGAAGAGACTGCACTAACCAGAGGAGACTGTACTAACCAGAGGAGACTGTACTAACCAGAGGAGACTGTACTAACCAGAGGAGACTGCACTAACCAGAGGAGACTGTACCAGAAGAGACTGCACTAACCAGACGAGACTGTACTAACCAGAGGAGACTGCACTAACCAGACGAGACTGTACTAACCAGAGGAGACTGTACTAACCAGAGGAGACTGCACTAACCAGAGGAGACTGTACTAACCAGAGGAGACTGTACTAACCAGAGGAGACTGTACTAACCAGAGGAGACTGTACTAACCAGAGGAGACTGCACTAACCAGAGGAGACTGTACTAACCAGAGGAGACTGCACTAACCAGAGGAGACTGCACTAACCAGAGGAGACTGCACTAACCAGAGGAGACTGTACTAACCAGAGGAGACTGTACTAACCAGAGGAGACTGTACTAACCAGAAGAGACTGCACTAACCAGAGGAGACTGTACTAACCAGAAGAGACTGCACTAACCAGAGGAGACTGTACTAACCAGAGGAGACTGCACTAACCAGAGGAGACTGTACTAACCAGAGGAGACTGTACTAACCAGAAGAGACTGTACTAACCAGAAGAGACTGTACTAACCAGAGGAGACTGCACTAACCAGAGGAGACTGCACTAACCAGAGGAGACTGTACTAACCAGAGGAGACTGCACTAACCAGAGGAGACTGTACCAGAAGAGACTGTACTAACCAGAGGAGACTGTACTAACCAGAGGAGACTGTACTAACCAGAGGAGACTGTACTAACCAGAAGAGACTGTACTAACCAGAGGAGACTGTACTAACCAGAAGAGACTGCACTAACCAGAGGAGACTGTACTAACCAGAGGAGACTGCACTAACCAGAGGAGACTGTACCAGAAGAGACTGTACTAACCAGAGGAGACTGTACTAACCAGAGGAGACTGTACTAACCAGAGGAGACTGCACTAACCAGAGGAGACTGTACTAACCAGAGGAGACTGTACTAACCAGAGGAGACTGTACTAACCAGAGGAGACTGTACTAACCAGAAGAGACTGTACTAACCAGAGGAGACTGTACTAACCAGAAGAGACTGTACTAACCAGAGGAGACTGTACTAACCAGAAGAGACTGCACTAACCAGAGGAGACTGCACTAACCAGAGGAGACTGTACTAACCAGAGGAGACTGTACTAACCAGAGGAGACTGTACTAACCAGAGGAGACTGTACTAACCAGAAGAGACTGCACTAACCAGAGGAGACTGTACTAACCAGAGGAGACTGCACTAACCAGAGGAGACTGTACTAACCAGAGGAGACTGTACTAACCAGAAGAGACTGTACTAACCAGAAGAGACTGCACTAACCAGAGGAGACTGTACTAACCAGAAGAGACTGCACTAACCAGAGGAGACTGTACTAACCAGAAGAGACTGCACTAACCAGAGGAGACTGTACTAACCAGAGGAGACTGCACTAACCAGAGGAGACTGTACTAACCAGAGGAGACTGTACTAACCAGAAGAGACTGCACTAACCAGAGGAGACTGTACTAACCAGAAGAGACTGCACTAACCAGAGGAGACTGTACTAACCAGAGGAGGCCGCACTAACCAGAGGAGACTGTACTAACCAGAAGAGACTGCACTAACCAGAGGAGACTGTACTAACCAGAGGAGACTGCACTAACCAGAGGAGACTGTACTAACCAGAGGAGACTGTACTAACCAGAGGAAGCCGCACTAACCAGAGGAGACTGTACTAACCAGAGGAGACTGTACTAACCAGAAGAGACTGCACTAACCAGAGGAGACTGTACTAACCAGAGGAGACTGTACTAACCAGAAGAGACTGTACTAACCAGAAGAGACTGCACTAACCAGAGGAGACT